CCCCCCTCAACACTCTCTGTTCGAATCAATCAGTGAACGTGTCACCATCTAATAAAATCTCTCCGTAAATCACCGAAACTCACCGAGTAAATCAACTATCAAATCAACTATTAAATCAACTAAATCAACTAATTTTTCAACAAATTCAACTATTAGTTCAACTTAACTTGTACATCAACAAACCATCAACGTGTAAATTATTGTAAAATACCGCATTAAATTGACCACGCGTTTTAATAAATTAATAATCGTTGTGTGTGAGAATTTCGCGAGTTATAACATTTTTACACAATCACCACATTTTCCTGACCTTCTCCCGATCCACCCTACTCAACAGTACCTCACCAAACAAACGAAACTTTTTTCTCTTTCTTTAACTGCTTATTTATAACTGAACGCTTTCTCTTAAAAGAATTTTTCGATACCGAAAGATCGACAGCCGCTACCTCGACACGAGCCGGGGACTTATTCCTCACCACCCCTTTATAACGATCTGGTGCGTACGCGCACAGCGGATAAATTGTATCATTTACTGAAGGTGGTGCAGCGAGTTTAGGAAGGCTGCGTCTTTCATCATAATCTTGAACTAGTTCCTCTAGCTCATCAAAAGTTGAAAAATCCCTGCGCGAGATCATCGCGTGGTATTCGCGTCTTAAATTCATGAACGCGAGATCTAAACGAGCCTCGACCGAAAAATGAGAATCGCGCGAGTGTGTCCACATTAAACGTATATTATCAATAAAATCCGGACCAGTTTCCAAATCCCCTTGTGTACGCAACACAATATCATGAACTAGGCGACACTTATTATCTTCAGGATTGGAAAATCTACGAATAAAAGCGTTTTTAAACTGTTCATAATTTTCAAACCTATCCTTACGTTCTGCCCACCAATTATAGGCAATTCCTCGCAGAAGAACCGGAAAGACACGAAACAGTTCTCGATCCTTCATATAGCAAGCCTCCTTGCAAACAGTAACTCTTCTCAAAAATGTCTCAACATCATCTGTGGCGATTCCCGAAAAATTTAATCTCCACGATTGTACACGATCAAAGGCACTGAGGTTCGAACGATCTGAATCGACACTTTGATCGCGACGTGATTCCCTGTTTGATTGAATATTAGATTCCCTAGGAGAACTTGCTAAATAAGGTAAATTTTCAATTTCAATATCATTCAGAAATGGATTCGTAGAATTCAAGGCTGATCTCGGATTAATCGATTGAACACGAGATGACAACGAGACATTTACACGCGGAGGAATAGGAGGTGGTATCATCAACGGAATCAATGGCCGACGATCTAGTTCCGTCCATGTAGTATTTGGGAAAGATCGCAAACGAATAGCCCGAATTAATCGATCACGAAGAATTTCGATACTACCCTCTGTGTTCGCCTCAAGAACCACAAGAATTTCCTTCAAACGTCGTAGACTTAAATCCATTATCCATTGATCCGAACCCCACTGTGATCCAACATGATCATCAGCTACCAACATCCTTCGCACGCTCTGAACAACACTATCATTACCTCGATTGAATGCCATATTGAAATTCAAAAGGTACGCGATACTCTAAACCGAACAAAAATGACAAAAATTTGACTTCCTGTGGTGATATACAATTGATCTGAGTAAAACAATACAAAATGAATAGACAAATAATTACACACAAATCAGACCAATTTCAGAAATCTTAAATCAAACAAATACTCTCTCTCTCCTACTCGCCAAAGAAAAGAGGTATAAATCCCAGCTACATCACGGAAACATAACACAGAATATATTCAAAGTTGTATAAAATTCGCCAAAAGTCTCGAAACTTTAATAAATCAATAACGATATCGTTACCTCAATCTCGACAAAAACGATCAAAATAACCGTTGTCGAGAGAAACGATTCAAAAGTCCGAAACGCGAATTAATTGAGATCAAACAGACCCACGAAACCAAAATAAAATATCTGATAAGAATCCTGAAAATTATAAATAATCCTCAAAATCCTTTCAAAGTCGTAAACCGTAATTGTGAGCCGAATGATCTTTACTATTATCAAAATTCAATATCCAAAAGTTCGAAAAATTAATTTTGTTCCCATGAACAAATTAATGGGCCAAAATATTCTAAAAAAAAAAAATCTAAAAAATTGAAAAAATTTTTCCGCGAACAAAATTTAGTGGGCCCCACGTCGGGCGCCAAAAAGCTGCGACGTAATTTTCGAAGGTTCACGGAACCCTTCGTCCATCAGCCCGCCCTCTGGCACCAAATCACCCCGAAAATAAAATAAAAAAAAAAAAAATTAGTCAGGCGCCAGGTCATTAAAAATGGAATGACCACC